GTTCTGCGTACTTTTCAGTGAGAATGCCAAACTGGGGGCAGGGGAGGTGGGGGAGGGGGGAGTTAACCCTTTCTGAACCTGGCACGGGGCAAGCCAGGCCTGCTCGTCCCATGACCTAAGCCCTCCCTGCCATGTTTTTCTCCCTCCCTCCCACTCCGAGCCAGAAACCTTCCTTCACCTCCCCTATGCCTTATCTCCCAGCCGGAGTCATTCCCCGCCCCCCCCCTTTCCACCACTGTCAGCAAGATCAAAGGTGAGAGCCAGAGGTTTGATAAATATTCCTCCGACAACAGAGTTGGTGACCCCACAAAAAGGGGCCACTTGAAACCCGGACTCCAGCTGCATACCAAATCCAGAAGCCACGCCCACCTCTGGCTCTGGAGGGTTCAATCTTTCCCCCTCCACCACCAGCCCCCCCCCACTTCAGGCTTGATGTGTTTTATGTTAATTAAACTGGTGGACGGGCAAAATATAAATTCCAGAGGGGTCACGGTGTTTGTCTGCCGCAGCAAAACTCAACAGCAGCCTTGTGGTGCTTTAAAGCGTGAGGCAAAGGTCATTCCGCCAGTCACAAGGTCCCGCTCAGCCGAGTGAGTGTGAGTTAGCTCACAGTCTTTTAGCCTCCGGCTCACAGATTTTTGCCTTCGCTCAGGAAGGACGGGCTCCAGAGCAAGCTGATTCGATGTTTGCAAAAAGCAAAGAACATTTTGCAGGACTTGTCACATCCTGAACATTCCCTGTTCGAACTGCTGCCTTCGGGCAGAAGATATAGGACAATTAAAGCAAGGACAAATAGATTAAAAAATAGTTTTTATTCGAGAGCTATTATTGCCTTAAACGCTGTATGAAACTGGAATTTGGGTGACATTGGTGGTTTTAAGTGGCTACGTGAACCTTAAGGGAGTTATGGGACAGTAGTGAATGGTGTGTGAGTGTAGATGAATATTGTTGTAGATCACCGAAATGATTGCATCTTTACTTTCGTTGTACTATGTACAATGACAATAAAGTATATTATTATTATTATTATTATTATTATTATTATTATTATTATTAATGCAGCAGCCAAATG